AGCTACAAACCTGTCTCCTTGTGTGGAATGGCCTGAACTATGGTTTCTCAAACCCTTCTGGTACTGAGTATCACCCGGCCCACTTAAGGTAAACAGGCTCTGGGCCTCACCTCATAACTCCCAGGTGGGACCGAGGCACCCTGGTGAATCTTATGATCAGCTGAGTTTCGGAAACGCTGGCAAGGCTTGGTCTGTGGGAAACCTACCTCTCTGGGCGCTGGGGGCTCTGGCTTGGGGCCTTCACTATAAAATCCAGCCAGGCCATAGGTTCCTCACACCTGCCCATGAGAGTACCATCCAACGAAGGGTCAGAAGAAAATATTAGAAAGGCCTATTTATACTTACGTTTTAAAAAGAGAATTTAAGCCTTACAGCATTAGTTTGCTAGTATTGACAGAAGATACCGTACACAAGGTGACTTAGAAACAGAAATTTATCAAGATGTTGGGAAGGTTGGTTTCTTTTGAGACCTCTCTCCTGGCTTGTAGATGGCTGTCGTCCCCCTGAATCTTCACTCCATCTTCCCTGTGTACAGATCTGTGTCCAACTTTCCTCTTCTTATAAAGTCACTAGTCATATTAGATTAGGGCCCCTAATGGCTTTATTTTAACTTAATCACCCTTACACAGACCCTATTTCCAAATACAGTCACATTCTAAGGTACTAGGGGTTAGGACTTCAACAAATGAATTTTGGGAGACACAGTTCAGCCCATAACACTTACTGATATTTAATGTAGGACTGACTGTAAAGCTTTGTAAATAGGCTTATGTACATTGGGGAGGAGGGGACCAAAGACCGTTACTGCTAGTGGTGTGCAATAAAAAGACACAGTGACCTTTTTCTAGGGTAGCAGCCATGGGGTCGGTGTTTGGGACCTGTCTCCTCCAGACCTTGGTCATCCTTGTTCTGTGGGGGTTTGTGATCCCTAAGGTGTGGGCCCAGAGAGCAGGCCCGGACCTGTTCACACTCCTTGCTCACTGTTAAGGGAACCCAGGTTGCCTGTCAGACCTTTGTTGTGACCCCCATGATGTCCTCAGCCCATGAGGGTGGACCTGTGAGGACTCACCAAGTGACAGTCCTCCCCTTCTGCCCCTTCTTTTATTAGGGAGGCCTCCAGAAACATAGCTGTGTGCAAAGGCAGGCAGTGTTTCTGAAATTGGGGCAAGAATCAGATCTGGTAGGGGCATTGGCACCCCCCAGCCCTATGCATACAAACACAATAGAAACTATCCTGGCTTTTCTTGGGGGACAGGACCCCAGGGCTACATGTTCCTAGGCAACAGGGTCCTCAGCCTGATAGGTAAGACAGAACACAAGAAGGTACCTCCTGGATTTTCACCCATAAACCATACCCCAGGCCTAGTCCAGCTGGATGTTGGAACACACAGGAAGATGCTGGTGTCTCTCCTACCAAGAGGGCAGTCTGGGGCAGGAGGCAGATGCATAATAGGTAACTGCCAGAGAGGTCTTAGGGAAGCTGGAGACAGGAGTCTGAACAGGGTCCCGGCAGGGGACACAGGCCTGGAGTGAAGGACACCACAGCCTCCTGCTTGCTGGGCAGGGTCCCAGGAAGGCCTGTCCTCCGCCTGCGTGTCCTGACTGCTGGCTGGCATGGCTGGCCAGTGGGGGATGGAGGGGGCTGGGGCCTGGGTAGCCTTTCAGACTGGGCACCCAAGCAGAAGGACGCTTTTGAACACAGCAGGGGTGGCATGGCCAGTATATGAGGGAGCGTGGTGTAGCTTGGCCTGGCTGAAGTGTACAGTATAGGGGCTGAGTGATAGGGGCAGGCTTGATGGAGGTCGGGGCTGATTCTGAAGGCTGCAAGGAGCCTGTGGAAGGTTTTAGAAAGGTCCTGTCAATGCAGCATGGAAGAGGGAGTGAAGCTGGAGGACCAGTTGAAAAATTGATTTCAGCCAAGAGGCTGGTAGTAGCCCCAAGAGGAGGAGATGAAGATGTGCGGAGCGGGGCTCTCAGTGTTCGTTGGCCTCTAGAGTGGGGTGAAGGAGGTATCCAGGGGTCTCCCAGGGCGCCTTCCGATTTGGGGAGCTGGGCGCCCATTGCTGGGACTGGGAATCCAGAATAGGAAGCAGGTCTGGGGAGGCGGGTCGCCTGTGTGAGCACCTGTGAAGAGCATGCCGCTAGGTGTAAATGTGGGCTTTCTGACCCGCTCAGGAGGGGCATGTGGAGACCTGGGGCCTGCTCGGGTGAATGTTCTCCATACTCTTTGCCTTTGAGGAGCACGTGCTGTTTATGAAATGAAGGGAGACACGGCTCTGGGTACGGAGGGGGCAGCGTGCCTCTTGCCTACGATTTTGGAGCACAGGTGTCTCTACCTCACAAGCGGATTGTTCAACACACAGCCTTGCCTGTTTGAGAACTGATTTCCTTGCATGGAAGTGGTGTTAATGGCTTATGGCCTCCTTTGATACTGGCAAACCAATAGTCAGGGACTGAAGAAAGCTGGGGGTCTCCAGGGCCTTGGATGTGGCTGCCACACTCAGGCCTCACACTTGCGTGCAAATCATCCCCCATAGAGCAGCACCCAGGCAGTGGGGGTGCGTATCCGCCCACCTGCTGCGGGCCGGGCTGTGTGCTGCTTGGAAAGCACACCTTCTCTGACTTACACCGAGCTGCTGTGTGGGGAAGAGGCCAAGACCAGGTTGAGCTGAGCAGAGACGCCATGACTCTCCCCTGCCAGGACATGGCAGTCAATTCTCAATCCAGCAGCCTTTCCTGCCCTGTTAGACTTCTCAACACAGTGCTGCCTCCAGGTGATTTTAAATATTGTTTTCCTTGTTGGGTCTCATTGTCCCCACCTGTAAAAACCTGTAAACGAGGTTGCTTCTAGGAACCCTCTTGCTCCTCCCCTGGGTCCCTTCCATGGAAGACATAGCTCAAAAAGGGAAGCTTCAGCCTTGAAAGGGGTCATGAGTGGAGAACCTGTGGACCCCCTTGCTTTGTGACTGTGACCAAGGCACACGGAGAGAGCAGGCAGCCACCTCCACTGCTCAGCCCCTGGACAGAGGAGCGGCGGCCCTGTGGACACGTGGGTGCTCCTCACACACAGCTTTTAAGTCAGTCCTCCCTGCCAGGGGAGACAGTGCAGTGTGGGGACAGTGTAGTGAGAGGAGGGGAGTCCTTGGTGCCGCAGAGCTGGTGAAATCCCAGGTCACCCCTCATGCAGCTGCAGCCTCAGAAGCTGTTCCCGCATGCAGTTGTGGTGAGGCGAGTGCCTGAAAAGCTGCTGTTCAGAGCCAGGCACAAAGGGATCTGTGGGGCTGTCACTGTATTTTCAATTTCCCACCCCTACCTTTTCCTACTCTGAAACTTGTTCCCAAGCGCCCAAGCAGCATGTGTGTCTCTGAGCTGGATGACCGCAGGGGTAAGTAGGAGGGATGTGCAGAGAGAGTTTATCCAGAGACTCCCCCTACCCCCACCCTTACCCTCACCCTCACCCCAAATGCCCTGGCTCTGCCTGGGACTGTGAACCTACAGGACTCCAGCTGTGGTGCCCCAGAAACCACTTCCCTTCTGATCTCCATCGCCCCTCCTCCATGCTCTGGGCTCCTCAAGACCCTTCTTGGGACCTTGGCTGCTGCTCTGCCCCCCGCCTCCTGTGGCAGGGCCCTGGTGGCGGCTGTGCAGGCTGCATTCCTGCATTCATGCAGTGGGCTGCCCTTTGCGGCTACGTGCAGGATGGTTACTCATCCAGCCCTTGACCAGCACTCAGGTGGCTGATTGGTTTGTTTATCAGGTATTTGTTTTGCCCCTGCCAAGAGTGGGCTGCTGTGAGGAGGGAGGTGTTTGGGGATCAGGGCCTGAGACCAGGTGGAGAGAGGAAAAATCTGTCAGAAAACTTGGCATTTTGTCTGTCTGTGGTCTCAGGTCTGGCCAGGCTAGCTCTTCTGCCAGCTGATAGTAATCAGTGGCAGCCTTGTTAGGGACAATTAACCCTTGTGCGTCTGCTGGGGTGGGGTGGGCTGATGTGATGTG